ATATATATATATATAGACCATCGTCACCTTTTCCATTTGCTGGTACCCAGGACCTGCAATTATGAATCATCAAGCATCAAGAACAAAACTACGGCACCTGTACATTTTGCAAGTCATGTTCCCTAAGAAGTATTGTATACTTACTTTGTTTTATAGGGATGTAAAACGACTTACAAGTTGAAACCGTTTAGTCACACTTCATTTCGGAGGCAAATTGCAGGCAGCCATAAACTTGTACGTGTCTTCTCAGTTCGCCCTTGTATGTACCACTCGTGATGATTGACAGGCATAGCACCCCCCACTAACACGGCCAGCAAACTAGGTGTTAAACACCCCATGGTCATGGAAGGAGCATGCGTAGTGCACAACACACGTCTCTAAATTCAGTTAAAGCACATGTTTCCCAAAAGTTGTTGTACCATTTATGGCCTTGGATAAGAATGTCAAATCTGATGCAAATGTTTTAAGAGCATGCCACACATAGTTTGTCAGTCGTTCTTTTTGGCCCCCTCTCGATGACGAATTACATCTTCCTGAATAGGTGCATCCAACTACTAAAACTTTGGAGAGCAACGTATATTTAACCTTTTTTGAATTGCTCTTCAACACAACGACCCACATTGAAGGAATCCTCACAAATACATAAACTGTCTCATTGCATTTGTGGTGTATGTAGCTGCTTCGCACTGTATGAGGACAGTATGGAGAGATTTATGGCCTAAAGGACTAGTTCGATATAAAAGTTAGTGTTCGATCCAGATACAGGTATGGTTGGTTTACGATGTAAGCCAGCCTGAAAGTGTCAGCACAGTCTCTAATCTCAAATGTGTGACTTCGACTTCGCTCATTTTTTAGGTCCCTTCAATCTTCAGCTGTTCTTTCTGGACGACAGTGACGGGCGGTTGTGGGAATCAAACCCTGTGATCCAGACCACTGTGTATCGTTACAAGTAACAATGTCACAAGACCACTTTTATCTGAAGGTTCCTGAACTCCATGGCTAGTACAAACAAGGCAATACTTTGCGGGTGGTTGATGGCGAAAAAAGAACTTCAGCACACACATGATCGGTGCACACCTGATGCGCACAGTGTGTCAGAATTAGCCTTTTGATTAAGCGATCTTATAAACGATTGGGCGAATGCAAGTCTGAGCGCATTCTAAAGCTCTGGCGGTATTTTGTTGAGGCATTACGTGTTACTGTCCTCATGCGATTGGTGGTGAACTGTGCTGCTCAGCTGGAAAGTGCGTTGTGGAACTCGTCCATTGATCATTGTCGAACAATTTGCTCAATCCACCCAACGAGTCACATGACCAGTTCTTGATGTCTCTGAGCTAAGTTTATCCCATTATTTTGGTGATGGAAATTTAGTAAGGGTAAAGGCCATAAGAAACATGAAGCCTTTCACGAGTCCAGCCGAATCCACGTACCACGTATACGAAGGGGGTTCATTTCTGCCATTGGGTGTACAACGAAATCTACAAAATATTTATCCCAGTGTTGACATCGTTCTTAGAGAAAACACTTCCTCCAAACACCATTGGGAACTAAATGAATAACATTACAAAACGCTTATCCAAAAAATTGAAGGTTCACTATAAAGGGGACAGAATTTCTAAATGTTTCGAGCGTAAACGAATTTGTGATAAGTGCTTGCAAGAAAAAGATAATTATAAAAATGTTTTGACTTCCAGTTGCTCTAACTATGGTATGATGTTAGTCGACCCCGTAGTTTGCCTGAATGAGCTCGGCTTTCCGCATCGAAAAGACAGTAAGCTGTAGACAATAAAGCGATCCGTCTCCGGGGCGTTCATGATACCTGACCGATTCGTATTATACCACACCCATGGATGCGTGAGTATGGAATTCTAATTGAGGGTCCATGACCAGTCGTGATAAATATCCTGTTCAATCAAAATTAGTCGAGTTACCTAATCGTGACTACCCTCGTTTGAATCTCAAAAATACGTTACCCGTCGAATGATACTTTGACACACCGTTCCGAAGAGGAACACGGACCACAACCGCCGGCATTCATGATAATATCAAAGTTCATTCACTCAAAGTATTTCTTCAGTGCAGGTGAGCGGAAACGTCACGTGTAAACATGAAGGTACACCAGCTGACTCATGTAGATCAAAATGTTATTCCGGGTGACAATGGAAAAAAGTGGTCCAAACGTCAGCACAGAGTCCCTTATAAACCGATGAATTTGCTGGTTAATAAGGTCAAAGTTCCATTCTTTTTGAAATTTCAACAACTTAAAGACACATCTGTAGGGAAGCTAGAAGGATTTGCCGTACTAGGTCCTGGATTGTTGCTTGATGCCACTGCGTCAAAATAGTTTGTCCACTGGGCAGAAGTTTTGTCCCAACTTACGCTAAATTCTGTAGCGCATGAATTCTGACCTCCACGCTTAAACCGGTACTAAATGACAGTAATCAAGAAAGAGTTTGACTTTAGAAAACATGGTAACTATCAAGAGAAATGTTTGCTAAGAACAAAAGTAGTGAAGGAAATGGACTAACTGCTTTCCATGAAAGTGCATTAAATATGTTTTAAACGCTGGTAGACTTCACAGTCCACAGATCCTAAGTTGGGAGCTTGTATTAAGAGACTAATTTATCACAGTAAATCCGCTTTTGCCGTAAAAGGGCTTTTGAAATCAAAATTAGGAAGTATTTGGGAAAATATATCCTGACCACACTGAGTCCTAAGTTATCAATCACTGAGTTATCATCCTCTATAAACCATATGAAATCCAGCCTTATATGCACTTTATCTCGATACTCATTGGAGTATAGTCATCCCAATTGCTGAATATATCCCAAGTTCAAACGGATGCGCCAGAACTGGCTACTATCATTGTTTACGGTAGACGGAACACAAACAAAGACCCACTGAGTACTGTCGATCAGAAGCCAACAGAGAACCTAAATAACTGAAAGACTGCATCGTTGCCCGTTCTTTATTTCACTTCCTTATGCTAGCTAGAGACGACTAACTCCAGTTTTTGAGACCGATTTATAACTTCCTCAAGGGCCGGTTGCTGTAGGGTTCATGCATTCCAAATGGATAAATGCATTACAGTGACAAATGCGAGAGGCAGTTTTTCGGTGCTGGTCGCGGATTTGTGGAATTCACGTTCCCCTATCTTAGTGCAACCACTCTGCTAACTTTAAACCAAATAGGGGAAGCGCTGGACTCGAATCATCCTCTTATCAAGCGAGTCCGTCGATCGTCGAAACCCGAAGAGTTACTGAGATGCTGTTCAGGGCGTCGGAAAACGAATCTTATCGCTCAAGCGTGAGCACGTTTATCTGTTCGGACGCGAAAATTCATACTAATCCACGATTCACCGGTAGATTAGTAGTACCACGCTCACTTTGCATATCAGATGTTCGCATTAGAAAATCCGGCACGGAAAATAGGTAGTAGGTAGAAAAATAGGTAGTCCATAAAGACAAGAACATACTCACAGACACTACGGTCTCTGTAGATGCGGGATACTCAACCACATTTTATGGTTAAGAAAGAAAATGTGATAACCCTGGTAGCGTAGGTTATCGTCAGTCTGTTCGTTGAACTGGTCAGTGACATAACGCTGTGTTCTGTGGATGATCATGGCAAATGTCTAGTCGCCCATCTGTATCAAGGTCTCTGGTAAAAGTAATTTATAGGTTAGTGTCGACTCCTCATAATCCACAGCAAGCCAGATTTGTACTGCCAATGTACAGCTGTGTTGATTCATCGTTTAAAAAGACCTTGGCACCACACATTTCACTCCAACGATATGATGGGTATGTACGCGCGAATGCCTTAACCATATTTTTTAACCTTTCTACCAATTGTACCAGTACCGTATAGACGTAGCACACTACTCATAAGGTTGCGGAAATCTCTTCGACCTTATGAGTAGTGTGCTACATCTATTCAATTTATAGCGACCCCAGAAAACTTTACCAACTTAAACATGAAACTGCTTGGTGCAGTACATTCTACTGAAAAAGAACGTCATATTCAAAAAATTCGGCTTGGATTCAGGTAAGTCTTTCATGGAAACCAAAATGTTATGCAAATGATTGTACTTATCAAATATCAAGAAACGTGCTTGTACAGATTTTCGGTATAACGTCCGCTAACCGAAGTAGATTTCCGTGAACATTATTATCCTCACAGGCTTGTCATACCGATACGAAAGCAACCAGTCAACATCAATGTTTGGTTTTCTAACCGAAATTCTAAAACCTATGACAAAGTTTCGTATGGTTAAACAAAAGCGAGACTTGTGACTATGCTACAAATTTGCATAGTATGAATTACAAAAACGGCGCAAAATTTACAAATTGTGCTGATTACTTACCATAACTTGGCCCGTTTGTTTTAGTCTCCAAATGTGTTGCTGTCAAATGTGTCGAGTGTGTTTTTCCAGAAAAACCTTTCGTTTTGCATCCGACACATTTCCCCGGTTTGTTCTGCTGGCGCCGAATGCATTTCACCCAGGTAGAAAATGTTTTTCGGTTACACCATACCCACATACCGGCGGTGATTCCCACAACCAGGGACATGAAGGTGTGTAACATATGGACTTCAATGGACGGGTAAGTCAACCCTTGAAGACATTCGTCTGCCTTGTTCCAGTTTGTCCCCAGAAGGTTGACACAACCAGAACGTGTTGCAAGTTCACGCATCGAACGGAGCCAAGTATCCTGTCCACTGTAGGAATACCAGTTGGCACCAATGACACAAATGCAGGGGATCACGTACAATACAGAGAAGATACAAATTTTCGCCATGAGTTTATCCAGACGTCTTACGCTGACCTTATCCGATGCGAACTGAAGTCTTTCCGGATTGGGTGTTCTAGAAGAAAGCAGTAATCCATTGCCAGGTGACTGCTCCGTCATTAGGAATTGATTCTTTGTCCCTCCGACATTCGAACGTTTCAGATTTGTTCTGATGGAAATTAGTGAGAAAAAACCGATAACAAACAGTCCAAGTCCCAGTAGAAGGCATACAATCTGTGGTATGAGAACAAAAATCAGTAAGCTAGCACGGTCCTGATAGCCTACATAGCATAAACCTGTTAGTTCGTCGGCATCGATTCGATGAAGAATGAGTATGATCATGGTTGTGATAGCCGGGACCGCCCAAGCGAACATATGTAATATGCTGCTAACGCGTTCAACCCCTTCGGACCCCCATTTGCATGCCGTTGACAGGAACCACGTGACAGCCAGCATCACCCACCATCCGTAGCTTGCTTGACCGAAGTAGTAGATGATGATAAATATTAATGTACATGAAGTGCTCTCATAACCAGAAACAATAAGAAACTTGTTTGTTTCGAGCATTGGCGCAAACGAGTGTACAAAACCGCCAGCATCAGCCGCAAGTGTCGGAAGGATGTTGGCCCAAATGGTATTCTGTGAATTCACAACTGCTGCGTCGTCCGCTCTCTGATAGCAACTGACCCTTTCGCGTCCCACTATAATACGTAGGATACACCCGACGGAATAAAACAGATAACATGCGGAAATGTATACAATTGGTCGCTCCGGATAAACAAAGCGACTGCGGTCAATAATGAAAGTGACAATAGTTAGTAGACACGAGATTGCACATAATATAGACCAACCAAGGAGCCAGATATCGGCGAAACGTTTCTCAGCCGCACGGTAGAAAATATTGGCGGTGCAGCGACGAGCACAAGTAACATTCCCATTGGATTTTCCTCGCACTAGTGGAACTTCCATAATAGTACAAGGCACGGATTTACTTTGCGGTATCTGAAGCAGTGTATCAGCCGTCAGTGGCAGATTGCCTCCAATTGAAGAATAGGCTGATTTACCAACATCCTTCATTTTATCAGGATGCTCATGAAGGAAGTTATTGAGGCCAGGCAACAGCTTGGCGATTTCGTTCGAGGCTACTTCAGGAAGCTTTTGAGTGAGAGAACCCGTCGCTTGATCCTGGTCGTAACTTTGCGGTTTGATGCACATATCCGAAGCCACGGGTAACGCATTACAGTTGAGTTCTTTTGGCCAAGGAAAGCTGAAGCTTTTCATGATGGGTTCACACTTAGACTGCACGTGACGACAGAAGCTCTGACATGGTTGTAGTGTCCTAAAAGCATTTGGTGTTGGTGTGCACATAGGAAAGTAGACCGTGCAGAGAAATATTCTTAAATAGTGAGAACATTCCACGCTTATCAGAGCGCGATAATCATTCACTCGTTTGGAGGCCTCCTCTTGTGATGTCAATCCCACCGAATTTGGAAACCTTGTGTGTGTATATTCCAAACCTTGACAAATTGGCTCATCAATAGGAACGCACTGATTAAGTCCATCCTCTTCAAATGCAGTTGGGCCGTCGTCTTCTGGTATGGGTTGCCCAAAGGTGCCATGCAAGCTCTCCCGAGAAAGTGGGGACTTTCCATTTTCTATGAAGTCAGCGGCTAGTTGGACCGAACGACTACTTCGTTCATTAAACCAACTGTGGCTGAAAATCACAACATCCAGAAAGATAAAAATGGTAACCGGGACGCTGCCTCTCCTCATTTTCTTACAATGCAGACGTGCGGGTAGGAACTTCCAAGAACTTCCAGGAATGAGGGTCGTTAGATCACATTTTACACGTGAAGCCGGCGAACACGTATGAAGTCATCTGCTCTGCGCGATTTACAGGAGCGTGTCACTGACAGGCCTCACAGGACACTAACCAATCGAAAACGCTCAGTGCAATGGGTCAACAGACGAATCAGCTGGCGTGAAAGCTTTAATCACACTACTGTGTGTATACTAGTGTCCAGTTTGTCTTCACTAGCAGGTAGCATTCACTAGCACTTGTGAGAGGAAAGAGGTAGTTCAAGGCCTGGTGGTCTAGGGGTATGATACTCGCTTTGGGTGTGAGTGGTCCCGGGTTCAAATCCCGGTCAGGCCCGGCTTTTCCCATTTTCCGATGAGAAGCTGGTGCCGCGTACCACGAAATCAGTTGAAAGAGCCTGTTTGAAACTTTTATCATAACAGGCCAATATGATTATGTTAGGCGTATTGCTCAGTGATCCCAAACACCTTTGATTAAAGCGTGTTTCCTTTTTTACTTTTATGAAACGTTGGAGCTACAGTGACATACTCATATGATGGCGTGCCTCGCAATTTAGCGAGTACATTTGTTTCAAATAGATACGTATCACTACAAAAACTACACACGATTCTGAGGCCATGTATTGGAATTAAACGTAAAGGATGCAGGCAATAGACTCAGTTACTACGGGTGCAAAAGTTCCTGCCGCTCTGTTTTACTCTCTCCTCTAAGCAGTAACCACTCGTGGCACATAAAAAACAACGGTTCCGTTGGGAATTTGAGTCAATGCTGGCTAAAGTGGATCTTTCATGCTGTGGGACATTCCAAGTTATCACCCCGAATTCACAGATGAGTAGGGAAAATTCAGTGTACATGCAGAGGAAAGTAGGTTTATTTTGTACAGTCGTCGTCTTTGAGGCGGGGCGGGGGCGTTTCAGACAAAATTTCGAGCCTTCAGTAATCCCACGCTATAAGTTCTGACAGAAGCCAAGAATAATCTCTCCAGCCTGTAGAGATTCGTTATTAGGCCCATTCTATTGCCCTCTACCAGCACTAAGTGGCGGTACAATAACAAGACTATTATGAATATAGAAAATCCAAGGTTGTTCGGGGCTATGGACTGTTTCCAAGTGTCCGTTAATGATGGCCTGCTCAAAATTTTGACAGAGCATGAAACAGGTAAACTGTTACCACTGAAAACGTTAGTCAAGATGGGCCGTCACGAAGAGACTGGGCCTTACCGTGGTGTGACGGTTTGCTCACCTCAGCGATCCATTGAGCTATACTGGAGAGTGTCCCGCGACACTCACTGAGTCTCTCATACCAGGTTGGTCAATGGTTAGAGGTCTGACGAACACAGTCTCCTGGCCCTCCAGGTTGGGGGTTGGAACATGTGGCGACTTGTTCCGTAGAAATGGTAATGCATTTGCATTTCCCGCCAAACACCGCTGCCTTGCGGTTAGGC